CGCGGGAAGGGCAGATAAAAGAAAGATCTTACGATCTGCTTCAAGGTTATGGGCTGAGAACAAAAAACGAATCCCTGCTTTTGCTATCTCTGCTGATTGTCTAAACAGATCAAGTGAGGATAGTACAACATAAGACACTCTCCTCACCAGATAAGATGAGGAGAGCACAGCAGAAAGCACTATCCTTTCGAGGATAGTACAACGAAAACCTCTATCGTTAATTTTGGATTAATGGAATTGAAAAAAAAAAGACTGTGGGACGGTAGAGGATGTGTCAGCTGACAACAACTGGAAGTTAAATCAAATTATATGTAAAACCAGTCCACGCTGACTCGATACCACCAGCATAGTTTTGTGATTCAGAGAGGTAAATTTCTCTCTCTCTCTCTCTCTCTCTCTCTCTCTCTCTCTCTTCTCTCTCTCTCTCTCTCTCTCTTTCTCTTTCTCTCTCTCTCTCTCTAATACATACGTATTATCCTAGATCCCCCAACCCTCCAACCCTCCAACCTCGCCCCCATGCCCGCGGGTGGATGTGGGCGGAGTTGATGGCAGGGCGGCGACGCGTGACGCACCCCGCCCAGTCCGTGTGACCTTTGACCCCGCGCCTGCCGCCCACCACCATTCCGCCCGCGACCCCCCCCACCCCTCCCCCACTCCAACCCCCACCCCCACGCAACGCACCTCCCCACACTCCACACTATACACAGGTGGCACCTACTGACAGGTGGGCATTATGGACAGGTGGCCATCATAAACAGGTGGCCACTGTTGACAGGTGGCCACCATAAACAGGTGGCCCATGTGGACAGGTGGTCGCTTTGGCTAATAAAAACCTGCCCTTGAGATTTTACGAGCTACTTCTCATTACAGGTGATCACCACCACCACATGGGTTATCCTAGGTTATCCTGAATTATCCTTGGCTAACCTAGGCTCTCCTAGATTATTCTAGGTGAGCATGAGTTATCCTAGACTATCATTGGTTATCCTAGGTGGTCATGAGTTATCCTAAGCTATCCTCGGTTATCCTGGGTTACCTGGAGGTTATTCCGGGGATCAACGCCCCCGCGGCCCGGTCCATGACCAGGCCTCCCGATGGATCAGGGCCTGATCAACTAGGCTGTTACTGCTGGCCGCACGCAGTCCAACGTACGAGCCACAGCCCGGCTGATCCGGCACTGACTTTAGGTATCTGTCCAGCTCTCTCTTGAAGGCAGCCAGGGGTTTATTGGCAATTCCCCTAATGCTTGATGGGAGGCTGTTGAACAGTTTTGGGCCCCGGACACTTATGGTGTTTTCTCTTAGTGTACCAATGGCGCCCCTACTTTTTATTGGCGGCATTTTGCATCGCCTGCCCAGTCTTTTGCTTTCGTAGGGAGTGATTTCTGTGTGCAGATTTGGGACCATTCCTTCCAAGATTTTCCAAGTGTAGATTATGATATATCTCTCCCTCCTGCGTTCCAACGAGTACAAGTCAAGTGCTTCCAAGCGTTCCCAGTAGTTAAGGTGCTTGACAGAACTTATACGTGCAGTAAAGGATCTCTGTCCACTCTCTAGATCTGCGATTTCACCTGCTTTGAATAGTAAGTTTTTCTAGGTTATCCCTGGTTATGCTTGGTTATGTAGTTTACCGCTATTTCTCCTCCGTCTCGCAATTTACCGCTATTTCTCGCTACGTTTCGCAGTTTACCGCCGTGTGGAGCTTTATCAAATCGTGACTTCATAAATCTCTACACAGAACGAACATCGCCAGCGACCTCTGCCGCGATTAGCGGATGGAGGGCCGAGCTTACACCGTCCAGTGTGTTTAGCAGACGAAGGATCGAGCCTCCACCGCCCAGTGTGTAAACAGAGGACGACCCCCAAATCGACCCATACCCTGAGGAACAGCGGGTGGAGGCTATCATTTGGTTAATTACACAACGTGCGTTGGTCTCTCTCTCTCTCTCTCTCTCTCTCTCTCTCTCTCTCTCTCTCCTCTCTCTCTCTTTACACAAGGGTTTGACAAGGTTAGGAAAGGAGTTCCTACCTTTATTTACAAGCTAAGAACATTTACCTTCATAATCTCATTTGAAAGCCATGTTATTGTTAAGAGAGGTACAAATAGGGAACAGTAAGGACCTAGAGCCATCTGAGGCAAGTGATTTCATTTGGTCATCGATGTCATTATGCTGTACAAACACGTTCTAGAGTCGGACGACTCTAGGAATGAAGGATCTCAGATGAAGTGATGTTCCTGAAGAAGGATATAGCCAGAGTGTAGTTGCTGCTCGCTGCCCGTCCTGTTGTATCCAAGCTCTTATCTCGCTGACCACGAAGAAGAGCGAAGTGTGGTTTCTCTCTCTCTCTCTCTCTCTCTCTCTCTCTCTCTCTCTCTCTCTCTCTGTGATCATATGTCTTCATCAGGTGGGGGGTACCTATTTTTTGGAACTAACGTCATCATCAGGTAAGGGCACTTATTTTCTGGAAAGCTAACATCTTCGCCCTGTAAGTGTCCCTATTTTCCTTTGATCCATTATCAGGCAAGATGTAACAGGTCACCAAATACATGCAAAGAGTATCCTGAGAAGTGAGCAGATGAATTTTTAACTCTAACCAATAAAAAGCAAAGAGGAATGGTAAACAGAGTTAAGTCGGAGGCTGCCACAGTGAAAAGCTGTCCCGCAAGGTACAGTACTCGCCCCCAATCCTTTTCCTCATCCTCATATCTAACACAAATGTAAATCTGTATTAGATATGAGGATGAGACACATATCTAACACAGATGTAAATCTGTGTAAGATATGTATCTTCCTCTGCAGACGAAGCTAGAATCTGCATAAGAGTGTCATCCATTGAGGACACTGTAAATCTCCAAGGTGATGCAAACTAAGTTTCCCAGCGGCCGCAGAAAACAATGTGATGTTCAAAGTTAGGTTAGGTTAGGTTAGGTTAGGTTAGGTTAGGTTAGGTTAAGTTAGGTTAGGTTAAGTTAGGTTAGGTTAGGTTAGTAAGTTAGGTTAGGTTAGGTTAGGTTAGGTTAGGTTAGTTAGGTTAGGTTAGGTTAGGTTAGGTTAGGTTAGGTTAGGTTAGGTTAGGTTAGGTTAGGTTAGGTTAAGTTAGGTTAGGTTAGGTTAGGTTAGGTTAGGTTAGGTTAAGTTAGGTTAGGTTAGGTTAGGTTAGGTTAAGTTAGGTTAGGTTAGGTTAGGTTAGGTAAGGTTCGTCAGGAAGCAGGACAAAAGTTTCCTGACGTGGGTCTTAGTCAGATAATGACCCGTCGTTGGAGCTTTTGCTCATCTGACCGAGTCCTTCCACTGGCTTACCGGCTCGCCCCTTTAAAAATAATGGTCATAGTTATAACTATTGATGTTCAATGAGGGCAAATTTCAGTTACTCCGTTATGGAAAACTTGAGAAAATAATAGAACGGAGCATAAAACAAATTCTAACCACACAATAGAGCGATAAAACTAACGTGAAGGACTTAGGAGTGATATCAGAGGATCTCAGCCGGGCTGTGGCTCCTGTGTTGGACTGCCTGCCGCCAGCGGTAACAGCCTGGATGATCAGGCCCTCATCCACCGCGAGGCTTGGTCGAGGACCGGGCAGCGGGGGCGATGACCATCGGGAACAACCTTCCAGGTAGGCTCCAGGAACGGTACCTACTTTCTAGAGAGCTATCTTCCCTAGGTCAGAGTACCTATTTTCTTGTAAATCAACATTTTCACGTTAGTGACTACGGTGAAGATAATGATGAAGATCATCATGATAATGATGGGGAGGAGGAAAATGGTTATTTTATGACGGTGATGACGATGATAACAGTGAACATGACACCGAAGATGACGTTGAAAGTTACAACAATGATGACGTTGGCGATGAAGAGCAAGATAAATGATGATGACGACGATGATGATGATGATAATGAGGATGATGATGATAGATGACTTTGTATATATATATATATATTATATATATATATATATATATATATATATATATATATATATATATATATATATATATAAACAAAATTAGAAAGAAATTCCTAACAATAATAATAAAACTAGCAATAATAATAATATTATTGTTGTTATTATCATTATTATTATTATTATTATTATTATTATTATTATTATTGTTACAAAAATAATTTCGAGAATGGAGAAAAGTTCCTATTAAGATTTATTTCAGAATGTTCAATTATTGCAGTTGATCCGCTAGTGGAGTGTAGTTACAGGTGACTGTTCCTGGCTGTTAATGAGCTGTATTGAGAGGTTACTCTGCGGCACAGAACAAAGACACAAGCAATGACAGGAACAGTAATGACAAGAACAGTAATTAATTCCGCTCAGAGGACACACGACAGTTTGGGTCGACGCGCGCCGCTTGCTCCTTACCCCACGCTGCCGGCCGCACGATCAAACTAAAAAATCATGGGGAAATTATCTTGAAAAATAATCTGATATATACTTTCCATCATGGAGGTGATCACTGTGCGCTGTTAGCTTAACAGATGTAAAATAAGACTTTTTTTTTAAGGTTTAAGTTTCTTAAGAGTGTAAGTTATGGGACAGACATATCTTTTGCTAAGATAATTTTAGGTTGGGAATTAGTATTCAATGTTTATAGTGTCTAGAAATAATGTGTACGCTAGTATATTTCGGATAAAATTGGTCAAGATATCTGGTGAGCATCTTCTGAACGAGAGGATTCGGCTCATAAACCACAGTGCATCACCTGGCTTGCTCACTTGTGAAAAATATTCATTCTCCCTTAACAACAATTGCAACGCAATTCTACTCATTTGAAGGCCTTAGTCTACCACCGTCTTGTGCTGTCGTGAAAGCAAATTTTTGCAGAAATGAAGCCGTTTGAGGAAAATGGGAAAATATGAGAGTAAAAAAATCCTGCGCTGGGCACTGTTTGAGCGCCCGAGGCGAGTTGATGCCCAGGCGTCGTCTGGGGTCTGGGGTCTCGAGCGATGGTCTGGCGCACCCCTGAAACCCACCCCAGTGACGGACATCCACTTGTTAGTTGGTATCTTGCCGTGTACGTGGGAGGTTACGTCGCTCTGGCCCACCTTGCTACCTGTTGCTTTCTGCTGTGAAATCCCCCCATACACGTGGATTTACGGATGCTTTGGTTATCGATGATGGTGTCGTAAAGCGAGTGTGTGAGCGTAAGTGCCTTCCTTTCCCAGCGTATATGAATTTGAGGAAACACAAGTGTGTGAAAAATTTGTGCCCAAGGAATACTACCCCGTTGTCACGAGGAATTTTCGCCCCCCAAAAGGATGGCATTATCGCTGAGACTTGTTACTGAGACAATGGTTCCGTGTAGATTGAATGCCGGAGATGCTTAGCGGAGAATACGGAGAGTAGGAGTGTCAGCGATGGCCTTACTGGCGGAGGACAGGCTGTCCCAGCCGCGTCCTGACGCAGCGGGCGAAGGAAGACCATTCAACCACCACTACCATCACCCACATCTGCGTCCCTGCAGCATCCGCGGCAGGAAGACCAGCGTTAGATGGTGTCTATCCCTATCCAGACTATGGGTGTGCTGTTTATGGGTGCTGTTAGCCACTCCTGCCAACACCTGTGCGGACTCCAACGGTTGTGATTTCTATGGGAGGTGAGTTGTGTAAAAGAGTTAGTTTTAATTTGTATTCACTGGAGCAGTGCTCCGGGTGTCCCGTCTTCCTTATTATTTGCATTTTAAATTTTTACCTCCCCAGAATGGGACCCACAGGTCGACTAACACCCAAATCCCAATATTACTGCTAGATGAGCAGGTCCAGCAGGTGTATGGAGTTTTTTCCATATGTTGGGCTTAGCCCTGGAGATAGTCCGCTAGCGTCCAGGTGCATATTTATGCTAGGTACAGGTACACACAGGTACATTCATCATGTATAGTTTAACATATGTGCAAATTACTTAGGATAACCCCAAAAAGTCAGACAGAGTTGACCTATTTCCATTCGAGTCAGCGGGAGTAAGGAGACATGCCCATTCGTTTCGCACCTGCCCAGGATGCGTCCCACAACAACAAACTTATACCCAGGTACCTATTTACTGCTAGGTAAACAGTCACACTTCCACACAGTTTGGAGTACGATGTAAACACTTCAGGTTTGGAGAGAGGGGCGTTCCTTGATGCCCTCGCTGCTGTGCTCTTGATCCAAGGAATCAGAGCTGCACTTTCCGTTCTTCAAAGTATTAAGGTAATTGTGGTTATTTTTCGTAGGGGGTAGTAGTAGTTGTTCTTGTTGTTATTGCCCTCCTTCTTCTTCTTCGTCTTCTTCTTCTTCGTCGTCGTCTTCTTCTTCTTCTTCTTCTTCTTCTTCTTCTTCTTCTTCTTCTTCTTCTTCTTCTTCTTCTTCTTCTTCTTATTATTATTATTATTATTATTATTACAGCTACATATTACATTTAAATATATACAGATGTTTACGCTGTGATCCCTTCTTCCCCTGAACACCTGTAAATTACCTGTGGTCGCTTCCGCAGGTCACCGCCTCCGCGGCCCGGTGCCACACCAGACCTGTGTCTAAGAGTAGTTTTTTATTTTTCACGAGGGTTAGTAAGCTCAGTGGGCTAGTAGCCACGAAAAGGTTAGTAATCCACTTGGTTGCTACAAAAAAATCGATGGGTTTACTTGTAGATCGCGACCCCTGCTACCTGGAGGGTCTACCACTCTTCCTGGAGGGTGTTCAGGGGGTCACCGCCCCCCGCAGCCCGGTTCATGACCAGGCCTCCCGATCTCAGATCATTGATAATGTTATTTGTAGCTTTAGTGCCTGCAACACCGTCATTATTATTATTATTATTATTATTATTATTATTATTATTATTATTATTTATTATTATTATTATTATTATTATTATTATTATTATTTATTGGTATTATTATTATCAGAAACAAGCGCTAAACCCATATGGATCAGACTTCAGGGAATACGAAAATTCCCTAGAAAGGTCACAGGTAACTCTCAGAGGAAAAATGCAATGACTTAATTATCTTAAAGACGAGCCTAGATCTTAGGCTCACGAACTAGTGTGACCCATACAGGTTTATCAAATTTAATTAAATAATAATTAATAATAATAATAGTAATAATAATTCGAAAGAAAATGTCATATGATCTGCCCATCAAGATTTATTTTGATTTGGGCGCGTGGTCTGTTGAGTTGTCCTCAGGTCACGTTACACCAGCACGGGGTCACTTAGGGTCACGTTACACCGGTTAAAGGTCACTAAGGGGTGGATGAAAGGTCGTTACGAGACATCAACGGTGAAGTAACATGTGCGTCCTGAGCTCAGTCATGTGCTGAGTTAGTGCTGCTGCTCCTCGCTGCTCTTACTGCTCTTGCTGCTGCTGCTGCTGCTGCTGCTCATGATGTAGTCTTTGTCTTCTTCATTTTTACTTCTTCATAACTTTTCTTCTTCATCTTCATTTCTGCGACTGACTGAAAGAGACGGAAATTTCCTTTTGGTTTTGGTTGCAAGCGTACTCACCTATATGTAGTTGCAGGGATCGATTCACAACTCCTGGTGTGTGTGTGTGTGTGTGTGTGTGTGTGTGTGTGTGTGTGTGTGTGTGTGTGTGTGTGTGTGTATGTGTGTGTGTGTGTGTGTGTGTGTGTGTTGTGTGTGTGTGTGTGTGTGTGTGTGTGTGTATGTGTGTGTGTGTGTGTGTGTGTGTGTGTGTGTGTGTGTGTGGAGAGAGAGAGAGAGAGAGAGAGAGATACCTACATAGTCGTAGCTACAAGATCATAACTAAGCTTTTGGTGTCCAGTCATTAGTATTCACCGTAAAGGCTTTTAAGCTTCCGGTGATTATAAAGAAGTGTACGTGAGTGTGGAAATAGTACCAACAGTGACACTATTCAAATTCCATGTACTCTCTCGTTCGGAGTATTGTTCACCGTTGACGGCTCCATTCATGGCAGGGGAGATAAGAGATCTGGAACACTGAGAGATTATGTAATGCCTGCATGCTGCCAATAGAGCATTTAAATTACAGGGAACACCTCGAAATCCTAAAAACCTACTCGCTGGAACGAAGGAGAGTTGTATGATAATATATATGCATGGAAAGTACTTGAGGGCCTTGTTCCAAATCTGCACGCTGCCATAACAAACTGGAGTGAGAGATATGGGAGAAAATGTACGATAAACCCAGTGTAAAGCAGAGCCGCCGTGAACACAACAGAATATTGTATCAGCACACCTGGTTCCGGAATATTCAACGTTTTGCCACCTAAAGTCTACCTGTAGGCAGTTCTGGGGGTCAACGCCTGATCAACCAGGCTGTTACTGTTGGCCACACGCAGTCCAGCGTACGAGCCACAGCCCGGCTGGTCAGAGTTTAGGTATCTGTCCAGTTCCCACTTGAAGACACAAGTGTCAGGGCACCTAACACTTGTGTTTCCTCTCAGTGTACACACACACCTTTATATTGAGGGATGTTGCACCGTCTGCTGAGTCTTTGCTTTCACAGGGAGGGATTTTCGTGAGCAGATTTGGGACAAGTCCCTCTAGGAATTTCCAGGTATAAATTATGATGCACCTTTCTCGCCTGCATTCCAAAGAACTTTTAATTTCTCAAGTTTTCCATAAAGGAGTAGCTGGAATTTGTCCTCATTGGAAGTCATATTGCCTTTTGCAGTCCATTGGAAGACTTGGTTTGTAGTTCGTACGTTGGACTGCGTGCGGCCAGCAGTAACAGCCTCGTTGATCAGGCCCTGCTCCACCAGGAGGCCTGGTCATGGACCGGGCCGTGGGGGCGTTGATCCCCGGAATGCTCTCCAGGTAATATCCTCTTTAAGATTTACGGATGACAGTCATGCAGATTCTAGTATCATCTGCAAAGGAAGACAGTACTATGGTTTACATTTCTGTCTGTGTCAGAAATGAGAATGAGGAAGAAAATGGAGGCGAGTACTGTGCCTTGTGGAACAGAGCTTTTCGCTATTGCAGCCTCATAATTCTGTTCACTATTACGCCATGTTTTCTCTGGGGTATAAAGTTAAAGATCCATCTGTCCACTTTTCCAGTTATTCCATTCCATTTTGTGCACTATTACACCATGATCGCACTTGTTAAAGGCTTTTGCAAAGTCTGAACCCAAGCTGCCGCGAGTTGCGCAGCTGTTGGGAATCCAAGTGGTTGGCTGTCTTGCTTCTTGGAAACCTTTCAGAGATTTTTATGATGTGGGACGTTAGAACTATTGGTCTTTAATTCTTTGCTATTATTGCTTTGCTGCCACCTTTGTGGGGTGGGGCTATATCCGTTGTTTTCAGTGACCTGTGGGATGACCAGTGTGTCAAGGCTCCCTCTCCACAGCACGCTGTAGGGGGTTCTTGGAGTTCTTGGTGAAAGCTGCTGGGACAAGTATAAAAGTCTTCAAAAGGAAACTGAACCAAAAGGAAACTGAACAAGTACCTTTACCAAGTACTAAATCAACTAGGGTGTGATGGGCCAGCGGGCCGCTAGTAGCAGCAGCAGCAACCTGGTTGACCAGGCAAGCACCAGACAAGCCTGACCCGGGCTTCGAGCGTAGGAAAATTCTTGAAACTGGTCAAAGATATATCAAAGGTAAAGGTGAGTGAGAAAAAGAGAGGGAGAGAAAGAGAGAATGGCAAACATGTAAGTAGCAGTAACGTCTCGTGCATAAGGCAAGATTGGTGCAATCGAGAGAGTAGGAGGTAGCAGCAAGTGGATATAATGGCGCGTATTTCAGAGGAGATTGGCGCAGTCTAGTCTGTATTGGATCTACTTTAGAGGGGGAGGCCAAGGGAAATTTTCCTGTTAACCGCCATTATCGCTGTCTCTAGTCCTCTCTTGTGCAGTATACTTTATCACTCAGTCAAATATGAAATTTGCTGGCTTGGGGAGTTCTTTTTTTCCCCTGTCGTTCGTCAGGAGGTAAACAAGCCTGACGCGGGTTATTTTCAAATGGTCGCCAGCCTGAGTTGGGATAGACGGTGGTTTCTACTTGCATGTGAAAGTTGCAGCCGTTGATGCTTATGTTACAGTCATTGATGCTACTGTTGCAGCTGTTGACGCTACTATTGAAGCCGTTGACGCTACTGCTGCAGGCGTTAACGTACTGTTGCAGGCGTTGACGCTGTTGTTGATAATGTTGCAGTCGCTGATGTTAATGTTGCAGCCGTTGATGCTAGTGGTGCAGCCCTTTACGTTAATGTTGCAGGTTGCAACCGTTGACTCAGTGATGGTCCGCACACTCAGCCTTACTGCTGGATTTTGATCGAGTCCCACACTTCTGCGTGACCATACTATCTGCATGGCCATATTGATAGTCTCGCAATAGTCATACTGATAGTCTGCAGTGGTCACACTGATAATCTCGCAATAGTCCTACTGATAGTCTCTCAGTAGTCTAAACTTTTGTATATTGTCTCTTACCATTTAAGTGGTACCTTGCAGGGGACACTTAAGTAAACTATCTCACGTTCTTCCCACTTGCATATCCTGAGGTCCCGTCCATTTTTTAAACCTGTAATCTGGTTGAATTACCTTTTAGCCTCTGCAACATTGCAACTTCTGGACAGTGAAATCGCTTGCTATAAAAGCCGGAGACGGTGTAAAATATCTGCGGTGAAATGCAAG